TTAAAACTATTTGTAATGGATTTATAAGCATTATCATTAACTTATATCATCCATTAAATTTTAATAAAGCATTCATTCTAATGTGATGAAGAGAATCGTGTATCTCTGTTATAGGATTCTACTCTGGATTTAAAACTATTTATAATTGACTTATAACCATTGTCATTAACGATATAGTCTTAAATGCCGGAGCGGAGAAGGGCACTATTTGAAATACTTATAACATCCATCAAATTTTAATAAAAATGATATGTACATGTCGAAGTTTAATGATTTCTGGTCATTAGTCTAGAGATTATAGTGGTTTTGATGATTGCAATTTTGTAATTTTTAAAACTATGGTTCAGAAAGAATTTAGCATATTAATAAAACATTGTTTTTTGATGAAAAAAAATACCGTTGAAACCAAATAAGGGTTTGATAAACATTAAAGAGACTCTAATCAGAAAATTCAACTATTATTGTTAAGAGTTTGAAAAGCGTTATAAAGTTATGAACACTTTATAGCAGGAAAATCAACTATTATCGACTGGTACTTTAAATTTTAGCACGATCGTATAAATACCGATCAAAACTGACAGTTGTTTTGGAAATATATATTTATTTTTTGCTGCGGTAATACCAAAATTTTTTGTGCACCACCTTGACTCGTTAGACTTAATTTTATTAATTAAAAAAAAAAAATTATTTTGAAAAAATATACATTTGGTAAATGCAATTCCTTCAAAATCACTTCTCAAAATACTTATTATATATTTAATTTGTTCACATACATCACATCCGTTGATAAATTTGACTTTAAGATTTTTAAGAAAACAAAAGAAAGTCATTTGCATTCAAAACAGCTAAGCAAGCGTGTCTTCAGTGGTGACTATCGTCTATTAGTTTACAAATATCCGCTTCCAAAACCAAAACCAAAAAAAAAAAATAAATAAATAAAAACCGTCTGGTATTTCCAAGTCCCAAGAGATACTACTCCATTACATGCGACACATAATTTATACGTTTTCCAACATTTGTGATGGAAACTCATCACTGACATAATCGACTAGCTACGACACAAAGCCATCTCAGCAATGATTGCTTTAAAAGCGTCCTTTTAAATTAAACAAATTTTTCATTGATAGTCACGAACTTTATATAAACATAAAAATTATTGAGTTAACAACTCACAAGTGCAATAATAAATAAAAGTCGACTTAAAGATGCACACGAGGAACTGATAATCTCCAAATACTGTGCATATTTTTCATAAATTAACTTCAAAGCATTGCAGTAAAATTTGAAAAAAAAAAAATAAAATAAAATCACATTTTTAAAATTATACGAAGCTGATGTCAGTTAACTTAACTGTGCATTGTTTCAACATGAAGCAAAAATATCTTTCATATTTATTTGAAATATAATTTGTATTTATTTTATTAGGCAAAATATTTAAAGTTACAAATTCTTGTTAATAAAATGTATAACATGAAGGCCACTTTACTGCAAATTTCCATGCAAAAGTAGTTGCAATGATGCAAGAGCCATCACGCATTTTTAGCACATCAATTTGCTATTTCAATATCGTATTGACCATATTGAGTCTGAGTATCTTATGGATACTCACTCTTGCAGTTTAATGAACGCATACTTGCAAGCTAAAAAATTTTGCTTTAACCTTGAGAAACAGGTTCATTATTTAACTGGAAGATGACTTAAAATTGCTTACGTACATTAAATGTTTATATGTAAAACAGGTTAACTTAGACAGATAAAATAAATAAAAAGTATCTTTTAACTTATATCGACTAGTCCTTTCCTTTTTTTAATAACAACTACTTTGACTTGAAATATTAAATTTTTTATTTTTGTTTTACATACTTTACTTATTTTTATATACTATGTACTCGTATATTTATGAACATTTAAAACAGTAGTTTACAGTTACAATAAACATTTCCTTATGATAAACCTTAGATAAAACATTATATAAATTCATTTAACTTAAACATAAACATGAACATATTTTAAACTAAGCTAAGCAAATTTTTTATATATTTTTTGGCAATGTTATGATATCCAAAGAGTTTGTACTTCATATACAATACATTAAAAAAGATATTTGTATCTACGACTCACAAAATTTTAAATCCGGTTTTGAGATAATACTGAAGTTATGAAGTCATCTTTTTAACTTTTTTATGATAATGTTTGCGCTTTTTTGGCTTACTTAAATAAATTCAGTTGAATAAATTTTTTTTAACAAATTTAACTTGAAATGTATTTAATTAAGCCAAAATTATACAAAAAACTTGAATGTAAATTATTTCACTTTCAAATAATAAAATTTTTATATCTACTCATTTGCAATGCCTTCTGCTTCTGCTTCTACTTTTTATTCTTCATATCAAGTTTTTGAAATACTGTATTTTGAGTACTGAATTGTAAACAAAAGAAAGATATGGAACTGCTACTACTTCATTATATTCCCTTTTTATATTTGTGATTACTAGTGAATATAAATATACTTTAGAAACAGTGTATTTCTTAACAAAGTGTCATAAAAGCGGGAGTTCAGTCCTTGGCGGAAAAAATAAAACAACTATACGATTTGTGGGGATTCATTTCATGTATTAACTAGGACACATATCGATTTTTGTTGTATTCCATTTTCCTAATATTCTCAGAAAACCTTTATATTGGTTTCTTTCTCGAATAGCATATGAAATACATATGCCTTTTACTTTTATACTATATTCTCTTAACATTATTTTTTAATAATGTTTAATACCATTATACTCATGTGGTCTACCACTTTCTGGTACTTACGAAAAAGCGTCTTTCTACTAAATATTTTTACTTACTTTAATGGCCTTCCGACATCTCTACGTTAAAGATATTATCCACGTCTGACGTCTACGTTAAAGATATTATCCATTTTATTAAAGCGACTAGTTGATTTCATGGTAAAAAATGTGTGTATCTTTATATGAAATTTTTTATTTAAACAAGCGTACGTTAAGCGCTCTCTGTAGTATCAGAACTTTTTCAGCTTTTTGGCACTAAATTGCTCTAATGAGACATACTATCTATCTTTATCTATTGTAATACTATTATCTGTGCGCATCTTTAATTTCTACATAATTGTACGATATGATATAGTGTAAAAAGTATGTAAAAAACCTAAAATGTTTAGAATGGAGTTATTAGATATATGTAATTCATAGAAACGAAAACGCATTAATATAACTGCATCTTCTTTCTATTACAATAGAGTAGAATTAAAATAGAGAATTCAAATATTAACTACGTCTCAATAAGCGGAGTTAGTATGTATTTTAAGAATCAAAAAATGAAATAATAATTAAAATCTTTAAAAATAAAACAGTTAGTTTTAAAACTGCTTTCATGTCTACTTGTATGATTAGAAAAGAAACAGTATATATTGGCACCCTATACAATAAAGATAAATATAACTGCTCCAGACATTTGTCTGAACTACGATGACGAAAAAGAAGCGAAATATGCCATCATCTACATAGCTGGCAAATTTTAATAAACTTAAGTTTTTATAATCTAAAAGTACTGTCAACACATAACCTACCGACCATTGCCAATGCAACAAAAAATATATTAACCAAATTCATTAAGAAATCAAGTTGCTTTTTAAGATAAGTAAGTTGGGAAGCCTTCGTCACAATATTTATGTATTATATATATTATAAGTACGCTATGTCTTTATCCATCTATTCAAAATTTAAAATTACATGAACTAAGAATGCTGACGCAGTTGCCCAACGACTCTTATAACTCCATCAATAAAAATGTTCAAAAATTTTATTAAAGATTCGTGATGGTTTTCTAAATAGGGAAGATGAAAAATCTACTTCAAATATAGCAAACTCTTTCCACAAAACTTATTACTGAACCTAGATCGCTTTCAAAATAGAGAACAACAAAAAGAGTTATAATATAAATATAGCATATGCCCTCACCCGTATAACTATATATATGAGATTTTATAATGTAAGAGTGTTAACAGCAGCTTGCCCATCGATCTTGCTAATACACTTATAAATTCATTAAGTAATCGAGATGGTTTTCAAAATAGAAAAGAGAAATTAAATTCTACTTTAAATATACCATTCACTTTTTGGTATGTCAACATTCAACTTCGAAAAATTATCATCAAAATGTTCTAAGCAGATACTCAAACAAGTTTAATCAACACCCTAATAAAAAAGATGAAAAAATTTATCATCTTTCAGAACTTCAAAATAAGTAAGTTCTACTAAAAATATATCACACATCTTCTGCTATGTGATAGTTCAACTCTTACAACTTAAACTTTTTTTTATCTAACAATGTTTTGGGTCGTTAACCCATTTTATAATATAATAATAATATATAATATAATATAATAATAATATAATATTTAATAAATATTAAATTTATTAAAAAATTAAGAAGGTTTAAAAAATAGAAAAAAAACGATAGAGAAGACGATACTATAAACGATACCTAGAATGGGTCTATAAATGCTCAAGTGGAGCTACGGTAGTCCGCAGTCATATAATTTGTAACTTAAACTAATCTAACTTTAAATTTAATATAATTTATAATTAATTTTAAATTAATATAATATTAAAATATGTCGGAAATACATAAGCTGTTGTTTACATTGTGCAAAGCGGTATTTTAAACGATTACTAACTATTTCCATACATACTTATACCCATTGTAGGTATTTAGCTTCATTAAATATTTTTTAAGTTAGATATTATAGTAGAATGTTCAGGTTAACCTTTTTAAAAGAAAGTAATAAATGGTTTTGGAATATTGTGCAAAAATAACTAAACACTCAATCACTTCATTATGGATATCTTTTCTTTTTTGAAATACTGTATTTACTAAATCTCATCGTAATGAATTATTGTGTATAAATTACGTATTGATATTTGTTAATTATATTAACTAATTCAATGTATATTTTTGGTAATATAAAAATCCAAACTTACCTTTTCCTATTTTTGATTTGGGTTGTTAATTTATCCAATTTTGCATCACCATATGCCAAAGTTGTGTTGTTGTTTT